TTTCTGTCACTGACACACCATCTCCTCCTCCTCCTCCATCACCATGTATGTCACTCAGGTCAACCAACATCTTCATATATCATTGTCAACAACACTCATCTCAACCAATGTCGTCGTTCTTCTCCTCATTCGCCTAATACCACCGTCATTCTCCCTCGTTGCCATCACCGCCGCTCCTCTTCCATCATTCATTTGCTAACTTCAACACCGCAATCCTCAATTATCGATCTACTGTCTTTGACATCATCGTTGCCACCATTTTCCTCCATCACCGATCTACTATCTTCGACATCGTCATTGCCACAATCTTCTTCCATCACTCGTTTAGGATGCAAAGTATCCAATCAGTGCATTAAAATGTGTTGTTAATATTCTATAGACGTGTAACTGATCTAATAAATTTGTTACTTAATTCAGTGATAAATTTATCACTCAGTAATTTATGAAAGATAAATTTATTAGATTATAGATTTGTAGGTGTAAGTGTAGGTATTTTATCAATGGAATGACAGAGCACATACAAAATGAATAAATTTGCCAATGCTTCATAATAGAATATTGTGATGCCCTTCTCTTTCTCAAATAAAGTTTGCTATTTGTAAATTTTTTAACAAATTCAACAGTGATAAATTTATCGCTGCAACTCTAGTTGAGATTTGTTGCATGATAAATTTATCACTGGATTTGACTTTTGATTCTTTGTCTTGATTTGTGACAACATAAAATGATGATAATTATTCTCTGGTAATGACTTCTCATATCTCTTATTCCTTCTCTTCATTTTCCCCTCTTCTTTTTCTCTCATTGCCACTGGATTTGAGTAGGTGGTTGCGATAGTAACGTGTTGGAGATGAAAAATGACCAAAAAAAATATTGTCGGAAGTTAGAGTTAGTTGTTGAAGGTTAGTAATGGTCGTAGAAGATCAGAGGTGGTCACTGGTTATCAGAAATGGTGGTTGGTGGCCAAATCGTGGTTTGCAATTTGGAGTTCAAAAACAAAATGGAAAAGTAGAAAAAAGTAAATAAATAAAACAAAATAAAACAAGGGTAAAAATGAGAAAGAAAATTCTAATAGGACTTAATGGTGCATAAAAATATAAGACAATACTTAATAGGTAATAACTCAAAAAAACAGGACCGACTGGTAGATTATCCTTTTTGAACAGTGTGTATTCTATTTAACTCCAAAACTTTTTAGATAGATCCAAAAGTTCTATACCCATTTATCTTTGCCTTTTTCCTTACACCTTGTTTCTTTTATGTATCTCTCTTTCTCTAATATCAACGATGACCACGACCACACCTTACTTTTTTTTTTTTCTTTCTCTCTTTAATCTACAGTCACCAGCGATTGGCGACCACCATTGATTAGGGTTCACGGGCAACCATTGAACACCAACTCCTTACTTTGTGCTCACCAACAGCGAAAGAAATGAGCTTTCGACAAAGAAGATGAGTAGATCTACTCAAATTTGATGTAAATCTACTCAGATATGATATAGATCTGAGTAAATCTACGTTAGATCCAGCTAGATCTAAACAAAAAAATAGTTGTCGGAGTACAAGCATCTCTCTATATCTGTCTTTTTCCTTTGATCTCTTAGTTTTAATATTTTTTTTTTGGTGCTATATACACTTCTATTTTCGTGTTATAATTGAGAAAATTTTCAAATTCTAAACAAGTTATTTTTGAATTTTAATTATAGGCTGTGAAATTTGTAAAATTTTATTGTTTCAATTTTTTTGGTGCTGAATTGAATCCTATTTTAGAATTGTAAAATTTGGTAGTTTCATAACTTTCTTTAGAATTGTAAATTTTTGTAGTTTCATAACATATTTTTCAGTTTGATTGATAAAAATAAATAATTAATAGAATCGTACTTTGAAACTGTAACATTTTACAGTTTCAAAACTTATTTTTTAAATTGATTAATATTATAAATTATTTGTTTAAATCCTATAAAAATTGAAAATAACATATATATTTTTTTCATTGTTACTTCTTTTTTTTTTCCTCTTTCAGTTTATCAATATTTGAGAGGGTAATTTTTGGGAAAAATTGGGCCGAGCTTCGAGTTGGGTTTTGAGGCCCAAAACGCAGAGGACTAGGTAAAAAGGCCGTACTGAATTAGCGACCACCATTGATTAGGGTTCACGGGCAACCATTGAACACCAACTCCTTACTTTGTGCTCACCAACAGCGAAAGAAATGAGCTTTTGACAAAGAAGATGAGTAGATCTACTCAAATTTGATGTAAATCTACTCAGATATGATGTAGATCTGAGTAAATCTACGTTAGATCCAGCTAGATCTAAACAAAAAAATAGTTGTCGGAATACAAGCATCTCTCTATATCTGTCTTTTTCCTTTGATCTCTTAGTTTTAATATATTTTTTTTGTGCTATATACACTTCTATTTTCGTGTTATAATTGAGAAAATTTTCAAATTCTAAACAAAGTTATTTTCGAATTTTAATTATAGGTTGTGAAATTTGTAAACTTTTATTGTTTCAATTTTTTTGGTGCTGAATTGAATCCTGTTTTAGAATTGTAAAATTTGGTAGTTTCATAACTTTCTTTAGAACTGTAAATTTTTATAGTTTCATAACATATTTTTCAGTTTGATTGATAATGATAAATAATTAATAGAATCGTACTTTGAAACTGTAACATTTTACAGTTTCAAAACTTATTTTTTAATTTGATTAATATTATAAATTATTTGTTTAAATCCTATAAAAATTGAAAATAACATATATATTTTTTTCATTGTTACTTCTTTTTTTTTTTCTTTTTTTTTTCCTCTTTCAGTTTATCAATATTTAACACATTTTGTTATATTTTTTCACTTTAATTTCTCAGTTTATTAGGTCCTTTTTTTTGACAATATTCTAAACATTCCGGTGAGTTTCCGGCGATACTCATGACGTCTATCGAATATTCTAGACATTTCGACGGCGTGATGTTCAGAACATTTTAGTGATACTCCAACTAATTTCCAATGATGTTCTGGCGATTTTCTGGTGATGTTGAATATTTCGACGAGTCTCTGATGACCATGTGACGGAAGTCCGACAATAATGGAATGTATGAGCGCCTTTAATTTTTTTAAAAAAAATATATATGATTTTTTGTAACAATTAAAAATATATAGGATTAATTGGCACAAGTATTTTATTTTGAAATTAGATGAATTTTAAATTTTGTATATAAAACTTATCAGTAAGTTCTCCCTCTTTTTTTAGTTTTTTTTTTTTGGTTGGGTAAACAAAATTTAGATTCGGATTGCCCAGTTCGTTTTGCTTTATTTTGCTTTGCTTTTTACTCTCGAACGGCAACAATTGATCTCATCAAAACTGATTTTGTGATTTTGGCAACTAAAAAATGAAAATTGCAATCTATCCTATATAAATTCAAAATTATGAAATATGAGTTACACTTAAAAAAATAAATAGGATCTACAAATATAAAGATGACAATAGAACATGACATAAGTGAATTTGTAGTGTCATGCGATGCCCCCTCCCCTAATCATATTGGGTTGGACAAATTGTTGAGATAATGGTATTAATGAAAAATAAAAAGGTACAATATTTGTGAAAAAAATAATTTTTTTAATATTTTAAATAATTTTTTTTAATTTTTAGACACACTTAAAAAGTATAGATTGCGTTTGGTAGAGTTTTGTAAATATGATTTGAGAGTATGAGTTGTATTTTGAGCTTGTGAGTTGTGAAATTATGATTTGAGTGTAGAAACTTTGTTTGGTTATGATTTTAAATAGAGTGTTGAATTGAGTTTTGAATTGAGAGTGAAATTGAGTTTTGAAAGTTTGATTTGACATGTGAAGGTAGAAAATTTGTTTGTCTATGAGTTTTGTAAAGAGTTTTCAAAACTTAATTCAAATTGTTATAACTCATAACAAAACACACTATTTTCACACTATTAAAAATTCTGATCAACACTCATAACCTAACTCTTTTTAAAATTCAATTAAAAAAATTTATTATTAACAGAAAATAACATTAATCAATTTTTTAATTGAAAATACTACAAAGGAAATAATTTTTTTCAAAACAAATATTTAAATTATTTAAATAATCTAAAAAATTTAATAAGCAAAAAAAATTAAAATAAATATTTAAAAATTTTAAATCGTAAAAATGTAAATAATTTAAATATTCAAAAAATTTAAATAATTTTAAATTTTAATATTTTAAATTTAAAAACAATTCTATACTCAAATCGTAACCAAACACATAAAACAAAACTCAATTAAGAAATTATTTTTAAAACTCATAACCAAACACATAACTCGAAACTCCATACTACTTTCACAACTCTACACTCATTTTTTTTTTAAGGGGATTTTTTTTTTTTTTTTAAATTTAAAAAAGGGAGATTTACCAATAAATCCCAAAATGTAAACTTATGAACCAATTAGTCCCATTTTTATTCTAGTAAACCGTTTAGTCCCATTTAATTGTGAGGGACGTAATTACCCTCATCTAACCGTTGCTCATAGATACACAGACACACACACACAGATACACACATACACACACAGAGATACACACACAGATACATACACACACACACAGAGATACACACACAGACACACACAAATACATACACACACACAGATACACACACACATACACAAATACACACATACATTACGAGGGGCAGACACACACACACAGATACATACACACACATACAGATACATACACACACACATCTGCAGATCTGAGACTGAGATCTGAGTCGCCATCATCATCACACACACACATGCGTCTGCAGATCTGAGACTGAGATATGAGTCGCCATCATCATCACACACACACAAACACAGGGAGAGAAGAGAGGTCTCGATCGGTTGAGAGAGGAGAGAAGATGGAGACTGGTTGTGCCGATGGTATCAAGCGGCGGAGTGCGGCCACGGCGGCGTAGAGACGAGAGACAGAGAGCGGCAGAGAAAGATGGGGTCTGAGATGAGAGAGAGAGAGAGAGATCTGAAATGAGAGATGAGAGGAGTTTTGTTAGATTAAATCTGTGGAAGGGTTTGGAGGGAACGAAATTTGAGAGAGAGAGAAGCGCGGGTGGGTTGCAGACAGAAGAGGGGAAGAGTTATAATGTGGGAAATGGTGAAGTGATGGTGAAGTGAGGGATCACATTGATGGCCCCAACAGTATATGGAAACAAAACAATAATGGGTAAAATCGTCCACACAGTTACACTAAATATGAAAAATAAGATCAACAAGAAATAAACTTCCCCACTGATAGGACTTATTCGAACAAAAGAATAAAATTGGGACTAATTGATTTAATAGTTTGTGAAATGGGATTTATTGGTAAATTTCCCTTCTTTAAAAAAAAAAAAAAAAGAATTAACGAAATAATTCAACGCATGTGTCCATTTTCGTAATTCGCCGATCCAAGAGGAGGGAGTGCCAGGTTCATTTCACTGGTCGCCGTATATAAATATAACCCGAACGCGGAGTGAGAATAAAAACCGAATTTGGCTATTTTCCGAGAGAGAGCAGAGAGGGGTTTCAGACACAGAAATAGGAAGGCTGACAGATTGGGGGCTGGTGGGCGGTCCTCTCTCCTTTCTTTCTCGCTTCCGATCTCTCCTCTCTCTGTCTCTTCCCCTGTCGGCACTCTCTCTCAGCTCATGGCGTTCTCTGAGAACTCTCGTCAATCTCTGATCCCAAGCTTTCTTTACTCTTCGAAAATGACGACGAAAAGTTCAAACCCTAGCCTCCTCTGGTCTTCTTCGCGAGCATCCGCAAATGGAACTGAAGGAGTCTCGTCGTCCCCGAAGAGCTTCGTCATTCCAGCTCCCAGCGAGCCAGGAAAGGTCCAGTTGTACTCGCCTCAATACTACGCAGCCTGCACTGTCGGTGGAATCCTCAGCTGTGGCCTCACTCACATGGCCGTCACTCCTCTTGACCTCGTCAAGTGTAATATGCAGGTCTCCTCCATCCATCTGTTAATATTATTCACTTCACTTCTCTACTCTACTCAATTCAATCCTTCATTTCACACCTCTCAACTTTTCCGATCTGCTTCCTTTTTCATCAGATCATTCTCTATTTCATATGTGTGTGTGTAGAGACTGGCTTAGATTGTAACTAGATCTATTGCTCTTCGTTGTTTCTCTTTGAATTTGTTTTGTGATTCTTTGTTTTGATAGTTGGATTGGTTGCTAGACTTGTATCTGGATTAGATCTGTGCTTTAGTGCTTGAATATTTTATTGATTCGGATCTTCTGCAGGCTTGGCCTACTTAGGATAGGTTTGGATTGAGTGATTTGGAGAGAAAAGGAAACAGATGGGATGTATGTATTTCTCTTATTTGTTTCGATAGTTAATTTAAGTAATTAATTTAAGTGGAGATAAATTGGGAGAAATGAGAAGAAGCGGAGGGAAACTCATTTATTTTATAATTCTCATTTTTAATTTTTTCAAAAGTGGAGAGATTGAGAGAAAAAAAATCAATATTTTCATAATACCAATTTTGTCGTTAGAAAAATAAAAGAAATAAAATGATTGAAAATATAAAAAAGTTATTTTGGTAATATAGTATAAAATAATTTATTTTCTTTTCTCTTATAAAATCTAATCAAAAAAGAAGAGAAGTAATAATAGTTTGGTTTGAGTTTTTTGAATTAAGTTTTTTGAAAATTGAATTTTTTGATTTTCGTATTTTTTTGTTTTTAGTGAATATTTTTAAAATTTTAAACATTTTTTTTTAAAAGAAATAAAATGATTGAAAATATAAAAAAGTTATTTTGGTAATATAGTATAAAATAATTTATTTTCTTTTCTCTTATAAAATCTAATCAAAAAAGAAGAGAAATAATAATCAGTGTGCTTGGTTTGAGTTTTTTGAATTAAGTTTTTTGAAAACTGAAATTTTTTGATTTTCGTATTTTTTTGTTTTTAGTGAATATTTTTAAAATTTTAAACATTTTTTTTTACCTTTTTAGATGCACCTTACTTAGATGTATCTAAAAAGTAAAAAAATTATGAAAAATTATTTTTAAAAATTAATAAATACATAAAAATACAAAAAATGTATTGAATTTTCGTTTTTTTTGTATTTTTGGTATTTAGTGAATTTTTAAAAGGTTTTTTTCAAATTTTTTTAACTTTTTAGGTATATTTATGTTAGGTATGTCTAAAAATTAAAAAAATTGCTCAAAATATTTAAAAAATTCAGTAAAAACAAAAAAACACGGAAAATAAGAAAGTAGAATTTTTTGAAAAGTGGTAACCAAGCATAGTGAATAATTTCTTTTCTTTTATTTGTTACTTATCCAAAGGAAATCGCAATCATTTCTTTTCTTTTCTCTTTCTTTTCTCTTATAACTTTAAGCAATTCATTATTTTCTTTTCTCTCCCAGATTCCCAAACATAGTGGTATTGATTTGTGCTTGCTATAAATTATAGATATCCATTAGGTCTACTTATTATTCCGTAACTATTGCCAGATCATAATTCATAACTGATTTTCTTTGTCGTTCAGAATCAATTGTTTTATCTGATTATGTTAGCTGTAGATGTTTAGATGTTAGTAGATGGGAATTCTACTTGGATTCTATCACACACCTGTCTGAATCTGATGTGTCATGCATTAATTATAGTGTAAAAAGATCGATGGATTGTTTCATATATGTTTCACTTTGTTTTTGATTTTTTGAATGTCATATGTTCTCTCCTGACCCTGAGCAAGCAAATTAACTGTTGTGCTATACTGTTTCACTAGATTGACCCTTCCAAGTACAAGAGCATCTCCTCTGGTTTTGGAGTGTTGTTGAAGGAGCAGGGGGTCAAGGGCTTCTTTAGGGGATGGGTGCCTACTCTGCTTGGTTATAGTGCTCAGGGTGCCTGCAAGTTTGGCTTCTATGAATTCTTTAAGAAATACTACTCTGACATTGCTGGACCAGAGTATGCAGTCAAATACAAAACTTTGATCTACCTTGCTGGCTCGGCATCTGCGGAGGTGATTGCAGATGTTGCTCTTTGCCCCTTTGAGGCGGTCAAGGTCCGTGTTCAGACTCAACCAGGCTTTGCAAGAGGACTGTCAGATGGATTTCCTAAGTTCATCAAATCTGAAGGCACTCTTGGGTATGCTTATGATCTATTTCTTTTGTTTTAACAACGAGTTAGGTGTTGAAAAATGTATGTAGTTTAAATTTTGTTAATCCTGTGTAGGTTGTACAAGGGCATTGTTCCTCTTTGGGGACGTCAGATTCCATGTAAGTTTAGCCATCCACATGTCAGACTTTATATTTTATTATTTGTCCCTTTGTCTCTATGGCTTTTGAATAATTGTTGACTAGTAATATGGCTCATGGTTTCAATGGATAATTTTAATTACTGATTACTGAAATCTTGCTTATGGCTATTAAAAGTTTGTTAGTTTCTGTTATATACATGTTGCCTTTTATATTGCATTCCTGTTAAATTATTATTATGATTATAAATTATAATAATTATTTTTTTTGCTTTTTTATTGTTTGCAGTTTTGCATTCTTGTTGCTAATATTGGAGTTCTGCTATTTTAGATTTTTTGGATTTTCGCTTCACACAGTCTTGATTTCTGGTTTTTTTTAAAAAATTTCAAGTTCCAGTCATTTTTCTTTTCTTCTTTGTCCTTTTATTTTCCTTAAAAAGAAAAAAGAAAAATTCTAGTGCTACATCTTTAAACGAGTAGTCACACATAAACACATACTTGATACTTCCAAATCATCATCTTTAGGTATCCACTTGTTTTGTTTTGGTTTTTTTTCCGCTCACGGGCCACACTTGCTTATATATGTATGGCTTTTTTCACCTCATTTTTTCAAATATTTTTTTCCATCTCTGTTTTATATCTAAGGATTTCTCATTTCTTTTTTAGTATGACACATGCATGTTTGATGTTAACTATTTTATTAGATTTTTTAGGGTACTAATAGCTTTTAACATATTGTGACTCGAAATTGTATTGGATTGTGTTTAGTTAATGTGATTTGTTGACTTGTATGTTAAGGGTTTGACATTAGGGTTGAATTCTGTTGAATTGAGTTTAAATTTTTTAAATTTCACTATTGAGCTGTGTTTAAAAATTAGGGAAAAAGATGATGTCTATTAGAGAAAAAAAAACATGTATAGGTCTAGTTAGGTTTTGCGTTTGCCCCTACTGGACACAAATCCTGAGTCCGCCCCCTGCATACACCGTTGCACAAATTGTTTTCTGGCTCTTCATATAGTTTTAGTTTGCACAATGTGAATGTTGATTATCGCTAAGTTTAGGAATATTTTATTTTAGTAGTTGTCTACCTTTTAGTTATAATTTTTGGCAGCAGTTATTGTCTAGCAGTAACATCTGCTGTTCATTTACTGCAAATTTGATTGAAATACTCATTTTCATGTTTATTTTGGATTCATAGCATAACCACTTCACCTATTCCTTGAAATTTGATGTTGCTGCGGGAGATGTATGGAAGATGATATGACCCTCAGATTAATTTTTCAAAGTGAGTGATATTTATGGTTCTCGTGGGCCACTTGACATGGATCACTTCCATTTTATTTATAACAAAAGTAGACACGAGTTGCAGTGCTATCCACCCCCCTCCCCAATTCACCCACACACACACAAACAGTATAGGAATGGGGAAAAAAGGAAAATCCTTCTCTCTCATTCTCTTTGTGCACAGGAGAGTTTAACTTCACCGAGGTTGTGATGTATAGGACTCCCAAATGGTTACATCTCATACACAAGAATTATACGAAACATAATAAATTAAATGAACCACAGGATGAGAACAGAGACATTCAAGGTCTTTGACAACCTTCCTGTTTGACAGTTTGTTTCATTTGATTATATTTTGGAATCAGCTGAAGCTCACTGATTTTGATCTTTTGCTCTTCAATGTTTTGTTTATGGTCTGAATGCACGGCACACTTGTTTTACCTTTTTTGTGTGTTTACAGTTGAACAAGTCATAACTTGTAATCTGCATGCTTGTCTGGTTACTCGATTTCACTCGCACTTTTAAGTTTGTTCTACCCTTTGGAAGTGAACTCAGCTGGAATATTGATCATTGGCCTGCTCCTTGATTGGTTTATAGCATATATCATTTGTGTAAATAGTCATATCATATGGGTAGTTAACGCTAGACATCTCTTTGAACTGTCAACCATTGCTGTGCTCTTCTGGGACTTGCGCATGAATTTTTTGTGAATAATATGTTTACATTTCTGGCAGTATTATTTAAGGTTATCAAGTACGGCAAATTTCACTTTGCCCTCCCTATGGTTTGGCCCATGTGCACATAACCCCTTGTCATTTTTAGAAATAAGCACATGAGCTCCCTTCAATTTGTGAACTAAAGCTCACTGTCAGGCCCATTAATGGCTTAAGAGAAAAGACTAAAATACCCTTTTACATAAATAACCTTGTTGTACAAACCATAAACATTTTTGTCATCCCCTTAACATTTTGAAATGAGCGCATAATCTCCTTATGTTTTGGCACGTGTTTCACACTTGTTAACTTGGACGGAATCCCTAATGGTGCACTTTAGTCTATAAACTTCAAGGGAGTTATGTGGTTATTTCCAAATGATAGGGGGTAATTCGCATATGGACCAAAACAACGAGGTGGTAAAGTGAAATTTGACCTATCTAATATTTGGTTAATAGACTTCTATGATAATATTGGTCAGAATAGGAAGCAATTCGTGTTCATGCAAATGATAATATTGCTGGTGATTCTTGATAAAAGATGCAGGCATTTACATCTTGCATTTCAGTAGGCCTTCTTCTAAAAATTTCTTCTATGAATGAAAACACATATTGATCAAATAGATGTACTTGATGTATTTTATGAACTTCCCATTAATGTCTCTGTGTTGATATTTTGTATATCATGTGTCATGTGGAGTCCATGGATAAATTATTAGTGTGTAGCCTATAGTAATTAATGACCTCTAAATAAGGAGCTTGTGAACTGGTCCTTGTGTCTCCCACTTCGCCCTCCTTGTCACTTTTTTTATTTTTATTTTTTTTATATATATATTACAATGAATTTCACCTTTACATTAGTCACCAGCCCAAACTTTGGTGGAATTTTGCATGGTGTCCTTAGTATTGGTTATGAACTATTATCATGGTTTTTGTGTCTGAGATGTTTATTTGTGCTTTTTAACCCCTGGCCACATCTATTCTAGCACTTGCTTGAATCTTAAAAGATCAAATTGGTTGATTTGCAGATACAATGATGAAATTTGCCTCTTTTGAGACCATCGTAGAGATGCTCTACAAGTATGCCATCCCCAAGCCCAAGAGCGAGTGCAGCAAGCCTCTGCAGCTTGGTGTGAGCTTTGCCGGTGGATATGTTGCTGGTGTTTTTTGTGCAATCGTGTCTCATCCTGCTGACAATCTAGTTTCTTTTCTTAACAATGCCAAGGGGGCAACTGTTGGTGATGTGAGTGCTTTGCCAGAATCAGGGTCCCTTTCAATTCCTTATGTGTTCTATCTAACTTTAATTTTTCATCTTCTGGTTGTGCAGGCTGTGAAGAAGTTTGGGCTCTGGGGTCTCTTTACCCGGGGGCTTCCCATCCGTATTGTCATGATCGGAACCCTCACTGGAGCCCAGTGGGGAATCTATGATGCTTTTAAAGTCTTTGTTGGGCTGTAAGTTTCTATTCCTGTATTTTATGCATGTAGAGTAATGGTTTCTAATTCTCTTCTCAAAGCTTATTAGGTTTATCTGTTGTTGGAGTATATTTCTGATGGAGTTTCATGTGATTTCCAGGCCAACCACTGGTGGAGTTGTTCCTGCCGCTGTGCCCGCTGCTACTGAGCTTGCAAAGGCATAGAATCAACCCAAATAGTTTTGTCGTGTGAGAAACTGCGATGATAGTTCCCCAGAGGGATCGATAATCATGGCATATGTCGTTGATGTTGCTTAGATGGCCTCCTAGCAGTTCAAGAATATTCTTTTTGCATTTGAAACTCGTTGCAGCTTTCATTCATTAACTTTGATATATAGGGGACGGTTTGCGTCCCATTTTTTCAAAAATGGAACAATTATTGATAGCTACTAGGTACAAAATCACATTTTGATGCTCTTATGTTATTCCCGCCCCATCAAGGGAAGATGAAACCAAATAATGGACAGATTGGGGGTTTTATACTTAGTTCTGTCTGTCAAGAGATACACAGTTGGTGCATGCAGATATATTTTTTTGGGTTATGCAAAGGCATGGGAATTATGCCCGTCTTTATTTGTTTTTTGTCCCTTACTTGAAGTTGTGAATGGTTAGGGTTGGATGTTTCGTTTGAGTGCATATCTTCTGCTATTTGGTTGTGTTTCAATATTATCTGAAGATTCTTGCTTTTGACTTATCCGTTGCAAATTTCTTCTTGAGTTTCATTTGCCTATATACAGTACATTAATGTGTCATTTGGTGAATAAATTGCCTTGAAAAAATGCCTTAGACCCCAGTGGGGTGACTCCCACCACCTCCACTGTTTTTTGATTGGCTTAAATTTATTTATTTATTTTATTAGTCTTGCTCTCACAGCCTCCCACGTAGAGGTAGGGGTGCTGGGGTCACCCCCAGTGGGGGGTCCCCAGCACTGTTGATTGCCTTGGCTGACCTTTATTTGCAGCTCAACAATGACAATCTTGGTCTTTGGAATGAGATCATTACAGGTGGGGACATGTTTAACAAAGGGAAACAGATCTCGTAGGCAGAACTGGTAACTGGCTCTTTGTGACGGTCTTGATAATTGGCTCAAGTTGGGACCTTTTAGAAACCTACCTCATAACGAGGACGTCTTGCATATAATGAAAAAGCGGACTATTTTGGTGGCTGACTGTCGGTCTGATGGTAAATGAATGGAACATGTGCAGTGCAAGTCTCTTTTTCTAGCTCCCTCCTAACACTGTTCATGTTATCAGGTAGTGTCCCTCTTCAGTGGTGATATTTGAATCTGTATTTATCACTGTACATTTTGTTGATAGTTCGATGAACTCACCACGCACGTTCACCTATTTGTGAATATATATATATATACATATATAATATGATTTCATTTAAATGAGGTCATCACAAACAAAGAGAATATGAAGGTTCTAACGGACAGTAGTTGAATATTTTTGGGGTAATTACATTCCAGTGACGGTAGAATAAATATTTCAGAGACAATGTAATTTTGTTCCCAAACCACATAATGCTGAAAAGATTTTATATATGTACAAGTCAAGAAGGTAAATCACTTCAAAGCAAACCACATGTCAAAAGTTTCAATTCCTCTCTTAGTTTTTAAAGTTTAAAACATTAATATGTTGGAAATCTTCATTTCTCACTCTTGTAATAAATGTATCATTCTTTGTTTCATAAATTTTTAATCGTTAATTTTAGTGACTTAATACCGGATATTAGTATAAATAGAAGATTTTTTTTTTTATATTTTTTTAGATGTACTTCACTTAGATGTATCTAAAAAGAAAAAAATTTGTGAAAAAATATTTTAAAAAATTAATAAATATATTTCATATTTTTTTTTATACTTTTAGTATTTAGTGAATTTTTAAAAGATTTGTTTTTACAAAAATTATACTTTTTATGTGTGTTTATGTTAGGTGTAATTAAAAATTAAAAAAATTCAATAAAAATAAAAAAAAATATGAGAGTAGAATTTTCTGAAAAATAAAAAAAATAAATAGATTGCGCCCAAAACAAGTGACAAAGCGGTTTCTTGATATTTTTGGGACCAAAGATTGCGCCCAAAACTAAAAGACATCCAAGGTAAACCAAAAATGATGAAGACGCCCACCGTGGGGCTCAAACTCACCACCACAAGGTTAAGAGCCTTGCGCTCTACCAACTGAGCTAGCTCCATTGTCTCCATTTTATGGACTAAGACCAAAATCTTTGAATCCAGCAGTGCTACAACTGAAAGTCACTTGAAAACATACATGTTTTGTTTTTAGAAAAAATTTATAATACACACCAAAAAATATATATTTTATAATAAAAAAAATTTAGTTATGTCTTAAGTAGTATTTGATTATAATAAAAAATGTCTTTCATTTTGTCTCGAGTGGTGTTTGATCAGGATTAATTATGGTCTATTTGGTTATAATTGAAAGTAGTTTGATTATAATACAAAGTGGTATCAACACTACAAAAAAATTCCAATGGTACACATTTTCTAGAAAAACTCTTGCTTTTAACAAGGTTATAATGATTATATTTATATATTAAAATTTATTTTTAAATATATGTGATGCATACGAGAATAGCAAGGACCAGGACCACTAGGGTGACTCGACTTGTTGGCTCAGGCCCAACCCATGATCAACAATCCAACCCAATAACAGATCAAGTAAAAATCTGACCAAACATAGGAGTGGTTTGGGATGATCTAAATAAGTGTACTTTTTGACTTTTTATGAAATATGAGTTAGGTTTGGATTGGGTTTGAAGTGATGTAGTAGAGAGGTAATATGACTTAAATATGATAGTGACTTTTTGACTTTTTTAGGACACCCCAAACAAGACTATCTGAAAAGACATCAGAAAAAAGTCGCCGCAACCCGTGGATAAATCAAAACAAAGATAGCCAAACAAGTCCCAATGTGTAAGAGTGGACTTTGAGCTAGCTGCATCAAAATCCAAAACAAAAAACTCAACTGATCTTTTTATTTCATTTTAAAATGTCAGCACACTACAAGAAAAAACACATTTGGCGACTAAATTTTCAGTCGCCAAAAGTGAATTTTTAGTCGCCAAGAGTCGCAGCACTTTTTTGTTTGTTTGTTTTTGTTTTTCAGACGTATAGTGTGTGTCAATCAACCCCATCTAGAAAAACGAGTCACATGAAAATTAACATTGCCAAAAAATAAAATAAAAGAGAGAGAGAGAGAAAGAAAGTACAAAGTTTTTCTACTTGATTTATTACATACATAAATATTATATTTTAACGACTTGAGTGAGTAACCATGATAAAGTTCCTCCCTATTATATTTTAACAACTTGAGTTGAGTAACCATGATAAAGTTCCTCCCTAGTATTACAGGTGAAACAAGTGCTCCAGAACTAGAAATCTAAAAGCTTAACAGAAGTTCCTCCATAGACGAGTTCTCTATGGACTCGAAGTTTCCAATAGGCTCAACCTTCGGATTGTAGGTCATTGGTGCATTCCAAAAATCAAGCAGAGTCTCATTTGAGACGGTAGTCTCATAAACATAAGACGAGTCTGAGCCACTTGACAAGGTGGTTTCATAAACATAAGATCTGTTCAAGTCACTTGAAAAGGGAGTTTGATCATAAACAAAAGGCAATGGCCCTGTGGTATCATCCACTGGGGGGAAGTTCACAGGAACCGGCTGATGATAAGAGTCATTATTATTTACCTCAAAATCATCAGGGCAGAAGTCATTAACACCATTCATTGTACATTCAATATATATATCCTGATCCGAAGCTTTCCTTCCTCGAATTACCTGATAATCAACAGGTTGAGGAGCTAATCAGTAATTATTACACATATATATAATTTCTGTAAGTGGAGTGAAATGATCGAGAAAAATTTCCTAAATTATAAGGAAACAAATGCTTGCTTACAAAATTCTGGTTTTGCTGATCTTGATACATCATCATGTAGTCTCCTTGTTTTAGGGCGTGTGTGTTCACAAATTCCCCTATAAAAAAATATTCAACAATATATTTCATTCAATGCTTGAATGAAGAAAAAGGAAATTCTGAGACAAAAAAAGAAAAATGAAATAAAAAGCTGTGAAGATCTCACCAGTATTTTCAAGTACGTACATTCTACTTGTATTGTTTGGCCAATATCTGTATACAAAAGGAGGAGAGTGGGGGAAAAACAAAATCCCCAAAAGTGAGATTGCTTGCATACGAAGTGGACTGATCAGATAATCTTTCACACTTCAGCTTGTTAAACTCAGAATCTGTTATTGGAGAGTGGTCTATAATCGAAAGGAACTAGTTAAACTCAAACCTGAACTTGAAACTCCAGACATGCAAGCCATCCATATCATCCATTCTCATAAAAAATCCCTCCTTCTCCATGAGGGTAGGCAGGTAATCCTCAGCTGCCTTCTGAAATTGGAAATTGAGTTGTCCCATAATATCAATTAAAGGAATTAACCACAGCACCTCTGAGCTACTATGGTTTAGATGACAAGTTGCATCAAATGAACCCAAGTAATAAATTCAGAGTTTATAATATATCATGGTGATTTCAAAAACATGATTTTCAAAGTAGAAACATAAAAATGCAGACCTTAGGGACTATCATTCTCCTGAGGGAGCCCACATCACTCGTCTGAAGTTCCTTCTGAAAAAGAAACCTCAACCTTGTTCGATCAATTACCTAAAGCACATAGCCATTATTTGAGATTTGCATGTCAAATTAAACACGTAAGCACTAATTACATTCAATACATAGTCAAATAAACTACATAAACAAATTTATGCAAGGAGATGACAGAGACATTAACAAGGCTAATAACATCTGACACAACAAGCAACATATTCTTCAGCAAATTGCGAGTGTCAAGTGTAAGTGCATTCTCACTAGAATTTAGCCTGGTGGACTGTCGATCCAGAGCTTCTCATCTTCAAGTGTCCTACATTCATGGAAATATGATCAAAAGTGAAGCATTCTCATTAAAATTACAGCAATTCTTGTTTGACCACCGCCTAATAGTTGTATAAGATTAATAGTGGCTGTTGATGGCCACCGCAAATTAATTGGCAAACATTATCACAAACTCGTCTAACTAGAGAGTGAAACACTTTCACTACAATCCCGACAAATAGTTGGAAAACATTATCACAAACTCATGTGTAACTACAGAGTGAAGCATTCTCACTACAGTTCCGGCATTTATTGTTTGACCGCCACCTATTAGTTGTATAAGGTTAATGGCAGTTGTTGATGGCCGCTATTGGAAAACATTATCACAAACTCACTACAATTCTGGCAATTCTTGTCTGACCGCCACCTATTAGTTGTATAAGATTAACGGCAGTTGTTTATGGCCGCCCCTAATTAATTGGCAAACAATATCACAAACTCTCGTCCTACAAGAGAGATGAGAGAGAGCAGAGAAAAAAACCTAGGCAGAGAGAGACATACCATGTTAGAATTTTTAAGACATCTAATTGAAAACCAATTGATTGATAGGTGGAGGGGCCTCTAGATTATACGAACCAAGTTTGGGTGACTTAGAGAGGTGAAATGAAACAAGTCTCAAAGAGCCCCTAACTATTATATGTTTGAGATTATCAGTGCTAATTAATTAAATGGTATAGATTAATCGCGGTTGCTATTGACCGCCGCTAATTGATTATTCAAGACTAGCCGCAGTAGTCACTGACAATTGCATATAGTAGTTCCTTATTGGCTTTTTGGCAGCCGTCAATAGAGTTCCACCATTAAAGGGTATGTTGGAAACAATTAATCAAAATGTCAAAACTAATAAATGATATATCAAAATCTCTTTGCACAAAAAGCAATTGTTGCAAAACACAAGTACTCATAAACAAATAGCATCCTTGAAGAAAACATCTTCGTAACTTTTGGGAATTCTTGTGGGAGACAGAGGGCCTGATGAGAGTGTTGATATCTTGATAGCTAGCCAACTCAATAAGGATTCATTTGGTCAGATGCAAATAGTCAGGTAAAATGATATTCTTGACTTTCTCAAAAGTCTTATAGGAAACAATTTGCGGAAGAAGTATAGAAAAAGAATACTTCAACTCTTTACATCACCAAAAAACTGCAACTCTCTATACATACACAAGGGAGGTGGTTAAGTTGCTACTTTAGTTAATGTCATTAAAAATTTGTTACTTTTCTTCACTGTAATTAAAAAACAAGCATATCCTAATGATTCATCATTATTACTCATGAGTAATTATTCACGAATACGTTTTCAAATTACATTCCTCAAAAAATTTTACTTGCCATGGTAATCTCTATTTCATATTTGGGCGTTTAATTTCTAGAATTGTCGTACACCAAAGGTTTATAAACATATACTTGTGTTGTGTGAAGTTGTCAACTACTACTCTAGATGTTGGGGAACAGTTCAAGTCTAATTATGTCAACAACCCAAAATCAAATCTCTAGATAATTTTATTTATAAACAAAATAATAATAAATCAGCTAAACAATAAAACCAGTCTTCAGAGAAACTACTCCGCACACAGCAACAGCACAGCACAGCACAGCACAGCACAGCTTCCCGAAATCATATCACCTGGAACTACTACTCGGTACCGACTCAGAAGACTGAGTCAGGACCCTAAAAAAGAAACATATATACTTATTAGGTACGTAATTTTATTTTTATTTTTATTTTGAAAAAGGAAGAAGAAGAGGCGTTCACGTACGGGAGGTGAGGGCACGTGGGGAACGAGGAGGGAAGGGAAGGGCAGCAAGAGGAGATTGAGGTTGAGGTTGAGGTTGAGGTTGAGGTTGAGGGAGGATCGCCTCTGTCGGGGCATCCTTTTCTTCCTCTGAACACCAGCACTCCTCATCCCGGCGAAGTGGTCCCGAGTCAACTCGGTCCGATCCGACTCGTCACAATCACAGCAGCCTCTCTCCCATTTCTTCGCCACAACATGACCAACACCAACACCTGCACCTGCCGCGAAACCACACGCTTCGTTTTTCCCCATCGGCTAGGACTTGGGGTTTTCCCTGTCTCTCTCCTCTCAGTGGAGTGTGGTTGTTTTGGGGAACAACGATCGACGCTCGGCAATCGCAAAATGGGGGGTTGATAAAAAAAACAAATACGGGAAAAGGGGTAGTGGGTGGGGGGTTTTTGTAGTCATTCATTTCCTGTAACTTTCCTCGATGTCAATGCCATTTGTGCATTCCCCATTCATCGTTACTTTTTTTTATTTTTTATTATTATTACCAAATCCAAGGGAGGGGACCAGCAAAGCTTAGCTCATCAAGTCTAAGTTTAACTTAACCAAGAGTTGAGCCCAAATAAATCAATTTAATTCATTACGAATCAAATTTTTACAAAACTTCATATTATGTTCTAAAAATCATGCTAATCATAACTGTACAGTCAATTTCAGTTTATCGCGCCTCTAAGGCTTTCAATTTCCAGTCAAAAGGTCCCAATTTCAATAGATTTTCTCATAACCAATAGATACAAATTTATAAACATGTAATCTACACATTTAAACATGGAATTTCACATCAAACACATAAGCACACGGAGAATTTAAGATATAAGAAGGTCAGGTTATTACACTCTTACCCCCTTTAAAATGCTTGGTCCCTTAAACTTGTTTTGCCTCAACTTGAAAATAACTCCGACCGCTCTTGTTTAATTTCCTCTTCTCAGGGGTGGCACCGCACGACTTGGCGCTAATTCCACGTCACTGTCCAGACTGATGGGTTCTTCACTCGTACTTTCACTCTTACTCTAACAATAGTCTTAATAATCACCAAAAGAGAACACGTCGAAAATACTTGAAACGATCGCCCGATTTGTGATAAGTGATGGCAGAAATATAAACGTTAAGGGTTAATTTATAATTTCTCAAATAATAAGAAAGAAATCGTATTTTGATCAAAATATTAGTCCCTTATTTTATTTTTTGTTGTCTCAAAATATTAGTCTATTTTTAAAAATAAATGAATAAAATAATATAAATTTACTATTTTGCTCTTCTTTTAAATTCATTAATAATACAAAAAGTACAATTATGACAATTGATATTCTAAAAAAATGTACTATCAAAGGGTAATATTTTTAAAATATAATAACTGTACTATAAAAAAAAAAAGTTGAATTCCTTAAAAAAGGCCATTATTTTGAAACAAATGGAGTAATAAATTTCTAGGTCCTAGCATTCTTGTTTGTGATAGTATTTGTTTGGAGTATTGCATGCCTCTGCACACATAGGTAATGTAAATAGATGGTATCACCAATAGGGGTAGGAGTGTAAATTTGGCCCAGCTTGGCCTACTCGGGCTTGGGCTTTGGCCGGCTCATTGTTGGGCCGCGTGGTCTCTCGTCAAAATTCAGGCTGTACCGGCCTACGGGCTAGGAAATTAGGCCCAGGAGGTGTTCAAGCCTCAGTTCAAGCTTGAGGTGAGTTTGGGTGGGCCTGATCATTTTTTTTTTCTTTTTTTTTACAAGAAATGACACTAGGCCTCTACTGAGCCAAGCCTCGTATTGGTTATTGAACAAGCCGATGAGTCAAGCTTTGGGCCGAGCCTCAAAACATATGGCCTAAGCCCAAGCTCAGTCCTAGGGTTTCAAGCTAGGCTCGAGCCCGGGCTTGAACGGGCCAGGATGCACCAAGTCGCAGGCAGGTTTCGAGTGGACCACGGACTAGTGGGCCAAATTTACACTCCTAAACAATGGTTAGTTTAGTGGTAAGACTTTCGATTTCCTCGCTCAAAGTCTGAGTTCGAGTTTCTATAGTCCCTTCTTAGGGTTAAACATATTTTTTAGTGCCCAGAGCATGTTGGGGCTTTGGCTTCAACCCCGACATAGGTGCGGTAGGATTTCCTGTAAATGCACTGTCGGTGTTAAGGGACAATACTTCCTAATGGATATGTGGTGTAGTCTATCTGTATATCACTTCTCCGCTCACCAAATTTATATCACTAATTCATATTTATATATTTTTTTAAAAATAAGAATAAAAAAAAAATCACGTGTTGATATAACACAAATGATGGATTTACAATACAGGTGGGGTGATGGCATTCTCAAATATTTGAAAAATATTAAATATTATATTAAAATTTTTAAAATAATTTGAAATTATAAGGGTTTAATGCTCATAAACATACTTCTATACTCTCATAGTGATAATTCTAAATCTGCCCTGTACAACACTAAGGTAGCATTTGGTAACTTTTACATTTTTGGTTTTTGTTTATAAAAATTTTATAAACTAATTTTTGTTTATTTTTAAAAAAAACATAAATTATAAACGTGTTTGGTTTAAACAAAATGTTTGAAAAATTTTAAAAATATAAACTAAAAAATATGTTTGTTCATGCCTAAAATATTTATATTTATTTTTTATTATTTATGACTATGGGATCATATACATTATAATTAAAAAAAAGTATTTGAAAAAAAATTAATTGAAAATAAAATAATTGAAAAAAAATTAATTGAAAATAAAAATTGTTAGTTAAAATTTTAAATTTCTGTTTAAAAACCAACGTAAACTCATTTTTTGAGTTTACGCTTTTTTCTCAATTTCATAAACTGAGACAACCATTTATAAATTAAAAAAATTATCAAACAAGTGTTTATGACAATTTTTAAAATTTTTGTAAATATAAACTGAAAACTAAAAACGAAATAGTTACCAAATAGACCCTTAAGAGAATAATATTCATGAGTAATAATAGTTTGAAAAACTTAAAATGAGAGAAAGAGATGGATACAAAATGGGTTGGGTTTATTTTATATTGAGATTTCAATATAATAGAACTTGAGGGATTCATAGGGCCTAATATGGGTCTCATTTCGATAATCCGAACTGTTTATTTTGTAAGGCTCGCAATGTATATTATCCATGAAAAGAAATAGCTCGATCTAACAATTATAAAATTTTCATTTTATTGGATTTGTCTATGAAAAAATGGACCACAAATATATATTTGAAATAGACTATTCATTTTTTAGAGACAAATGTGATAAAATAAAAAAGTTACGATTATCAAAACGGTTCGAATTATCGAAATGAGACTCGTGTTGAGCCCTACGAACTCCTTAAGTTCTGTCAGGTTGAAATTTCACTACAACAATTCACACTTTTGGCGACCAAATTTGGCGACTAAACTTTTTTTAGTCGCCAAAAGTTGTAGAATAGGCGACTAAAAATTATATTGGTCGCCATTGAATATGATTTTTAGCTACTAATTTTTTTAGTAGCTGTATCTTCATTATTGGTGACTAAAAAAAATTAGTCGCTAAATATGAGCAATAGGCGACTAAAAATTATTTTAGTCGGCACTAGATCATGTTTTAGGCTACTAAAATTTTTGTTAGTCGTGGTATACCAGTTTTTGGCTACTGAAATAAATTTCGTCGCCAAAAACCTAGTATAATGTTTGCTATTAAATTTTGGTGACCAAAGTTTTGGTCGGCAAATATTCATTTTCGGTGACTAAAATTTTTTTAGTTGCTGTAAGGTAATTTTTGCCTAAATAAAAAACATAAATTTTACTTTTATGTTTCGTGACAAAAAATTTAGTCGGTGAATATTTCTTTTCGGTGACCAAAATACCGTTAGTAGCCAAAATGGCTACTTTGTTAAATGTTGGCTACTACTTAAATTAGTTGGTATAATTAACCTTTGGCGACAAACAACAAGTTTGGTCGCCAAAGGTATATAAAATTTTAGTGAACATTAAAAGAATGGCGCCAGTTCTTCGGGAGGTTCTATTTACACACACACATTCCTCTTTTTACATATCTTTCTTAATTCACACACCAAAAAAAAAAAAAAAAAACAATTTACTCAACACACACAATTTTTTTCCAGGTATACCCATACACACACTCCCAATTCACACACCTTCTTCCACACCAGCCAACAACGATCAAACCCTAACCTTAACCCTAGGCAGCAACCACCTTGTTGACGGCGACGCAGCACCGGCGACCCCCTCTCTCTCTCTCTCCTCTCAGTCGCGAAAAGGAAGGCGACGACGACTCGCAGACGAACGGCGACGGCGGCTCGCAGACGAAAGGGGGTTCGGATGTTGATGGTCGAACCAGTGTGCTTTGTTCGGATGGTGATAGTCGAACCAAATTCATTGGTTCGATGGTTGATTTCCGAACGGAGGCGATTCGTTCGACACTGGTAGTCCGAACGGAGGCGATTCCACGATGCCCGACGTGGTGGGGAAGAGAAGCGGGAAGGCAATGGGTTCGCAGATGAAAGGGAGTTGCAGTGGTGAAGGAAAAGGTAACGGCAGTGATGGAAGAAAAGAGAGGCGGCGGCCATGGAGGGTTAGGGTTAGGGTTAGGGTTAGGGTTAGGGTTAGGTTTTTGGACTGAAAGAGACGGGGGTTGGGGGAGAAGAGGAAGGTTATTTTGATAGTTTCATTTTGGAACTGAAATGTAATAAAAAAAAATTCATTAAGTGTGTGTAAAGAGGGTAAATGGTGTGTGCAAATAAAGGCTCCCCAGTTCTTCTTAGCATTTTTGAAAACAGGAATCTTCTCCTCTCTCTCTCTCTCTCTTTCTCTCGCGCGCGCGCGCGCACACACACACAGAACCAGTCACCACCAAACCTCACCTCACTGCAGTCGTTCACCACCATTGCTTACTGTAAGACGCACAGCGCCACCACACCGCCGCAAATCACACCGCCACCGCTTCAATACGAACAGGTTCTCTCTCTCTCTCTCTCTCTCTTCCCCTTCCTCTATTTTCCCATTTTGTCACTCTTGCTCTAGGGTTTATATTATTTATTTAGTTTAATTTCCTGTTTAGCTTGTTTTTGGTTTAATTTCTTCAACTTGCAGTAAATTTGGAGTTGCATTAGTAGATTGTCTAGCTAATTTAACAGTTCTCTTTGTTTTTGTTGAGGGAAAAATTTGGGTTCATTGAGGCATTTGAGTTTATCAAGGAAAAATTTGGGGTCCCTGCGATTGTGTGTCCTGCTTTGAGGGGTTTAGGAGCTGGGTTGATGGCTGTCAAGTATCCTGGAATACTCTACTGAGTTTCACTAATGTTGATGAAATTCTTCATATTGGAAAGACGGCTTTGGTCATTAGTGCTGATTCATGGGTATTAGTGGTGAAAAATGTGAAGTTCACTGAAAAGGATGAAAGGTAATCTTCTTTTCAGTGTCTCTCTCTTTCCAACCCATCCCCATCCTATTCAACTAACTTCACTAACTTGAACACCTTTCTTTTCCTTGTATGTGTGTTTTATTTTATTTATTTTTATTTTTTATTTTAGATTTGTGAAAGAGTGGAAGAAGTATCTTGAAGGAGGCGAGAATAATAAAGGATGTGCCTGTGTGGAAAGTTGGTGAAAGTGTCTATAACTTTGGAAGATGGATGCCTCCTGCAACCACTGAGCTCCGTCCTGATGTCTGGTAAGATGTTTGGTGTGTTTTGAACACAGGCAGTCGTGTGTTGTTAGCCGTCAAAAGTTGATCTTTTTGAAAACAAAAATATTTATGGAAAACAAAAAATTTTAATTTTCTAAAAAGTGAATCCTGAAAATCCAAACTAAATAAGCTGATGTTTTTGAAAAACTCTATTCACATGTGATGAAATGATAAAGCAGTACTCTCTTATTAATACCATTGTCTACTTTTCTATTTACCTTAAAAAAGTTTAGGACTATGGAACCTTGTTTGTGCCATATTTTGTGCGAAATGGTGCGATGATGATGATCAATCTTCTTTTGTTATGTTCTACATACCCCTAGGAAGCTAAGACAATTGTGTATTTGCTCGTTAGTTGTGATCAATAGGAGGAATTTTATTTGGTAGCAAACTTTAAACTACTAAATTGATCTTGATACTTTCCTTCAATAATGCATGATGATGCCATCCACGAGTTATGTTTATTAGGGGTGATCATAGTTTCCAATCTAGAAGCAAAAAATTGAAACAGTCAAGGCAGAGAAAACAAAATCGTAACATAAAGATGATATATTATTTAGAGACATGAGAGATAAGCCGAAAAATGACTGAGTTTTAGTAGTTTAACTAGATTATGATAAAGTCGGTTTATAAGTTATTACACAATTGTCACCCAGTCATTTATCTTACACAATTGTTAACCATCTTTTATAATTTCAAGCTACTATTATAAGTGAAAGTCATATTTTTGTCTTTCATTCTTAGTTGTAGATGCTGTTGTTGTTTATTCAAACACTGAAAAGGAAAATAAATAAATACCACTTACCTATTTAGTGTTATCCCTCCCTGGAGTAATTTGTGGCTTGTTGGTTCAATTGTACTAACCATGCTCCTTCATATTCTTATCTTGTACGTGCGACCTCTGTCTATTCTTTTTTCCGTAAGTGATTTATCTTCTACTTCTATCTATTTACTGCAATTTCTTTTCTATGATTCAACTTTTTTGCCCCCTTACATGAGGTTGTTAATTCAAATATTTGAATTTTGTGTTGTAGGTGATGCCATTGTCTTGGGCTGAGTGGACTGTTGTTTTGTATCTTTCATTTCCTGTAAGTAGTTTGATTACATTCCTTGTTTGTTGATGTTCATATTCTCTCTCTTTCAGTATCGGAACTTATTATCTTGCCATGTTGGTGCATTTTCTGCTGCTAACTGTGTTATGATATTGTTAAAATTAATAGACATATATCATGAATTGCTACCTTTTTTTTTGTTATAGATATAGTGTTATAGACAAATGACATAAATAAATAAAATTGATCGTTAGATTACACGTTCCTCCTGCTTTAATCTTGTTTGCCAAATTAAGGTCAATTAGAAATCACGAACTATCTATATATATGTTGGTATTGTTTAATAGAATATGACTCTAACTTGGTGGTCTATCTAGATAATAAGAGAATAATAAGAGAACTTTTAATCTCTGATTAACCTAAAATTTGGCATGCATGAACGATCCATTTTATTTTATGAAATATGAATCTAGCAAAAAGTTATGAAACGATGTAATGTAAGATTAAAAAGGTTTTACATTGGATGTAAAGGGATCTCTCCCCATGTACTAAGTCTGTATTATTATTTCCATATACACACACATTTCTTGTCATTTAAGTAGAAAATGTTATTCAGATATTACTTTACTTCAAATTTTAGCAGAAATATTATTCTTTGGCATTAAAGCAATGTCCTCGTCTTAATATTTATTAAAATGCGATGAAAGAAAAATTAATTCAAAAAGGAGGTAAACTAATGGCAACTTGATAACATAATTGTAATTTTATTTACATAGGGATGATATTTCATATATTTGTATGGTGGAACAAAGATTATATTTAACTCATCATTAGTGTAAGATAGATAGTCTATATATAATTGATTGAAATTGTTAAGGATAGGAGAGTAATTATGATAGAAGGTAAAAGGCAAATGTAGAAACAAAAGGGTAGATTTGTGTGTTTATAAATCATTTTTGTTGGGGAGTTAAAGTAATTCAACAAGATTAACACCTTGGGTTGTCAAACTAGTCCTTGAGTTAGTCAATTTTCAAAAGAAGATTTTATTTATTTATTTTTTAGAGATTCTTCATATTTTTGCAGCACTTTTGTGTTACTTCTTCTAAGCTACATCTATTGGATCCAAAAAGAGTAACCGATTTCCATGGTTATATTGAGTTATATTTGGGTATTGTATCAGTATCTGCCTATGGGGTTGTGCAAGCAAAAAAGCCTGGTAAAGCTACTATCAAAGTAGTATCCAATTTTGATCCATTCAATTACGATGAGGTAATGAGTAATGACACACAGATAAAGTATATTGCTCGCTCATGTTTGTTTCTCATCCTATTAGACATGTAGTTTCTAATTGTTCAGTTCAGTGAAGTGGATTCTTGAGCTTTGTTCTGCCCCAAAAGCGATATTTTGTTCTTGAGGATAATTTCTATTACATTCAATCCTATGGTTTTGAAGTTCCTTGAAACTTCTTAGTAATTTGATTGATTGCTTCCTCAATTCACCTAAGACATTACTTAACTCAAAATTCAAAACCTTGTCAATTAATTCAAAACCTTGTCGATTAACTCAAAGTTCCTCAAACTTCTTAGTAATATGAAGAAAATCTATTTCTGAGCTAAATTACTTTTAGTGTGCACTGCTTTTGTCCTTGGGAAATTTTCCATTCCATTGGCATTCCAAGTTCAAATTCATATTAAGAATGGTAATACATATTCTGAGATTTTGTGACTCAGTGATCAATTTTTGGATGGCCTGTGTAATATGCGCTTTGCTATCGACTCACCAATCACCATGCTAAATTCAGAAAAGTTCATTCAAGTTTCAACCACTGATGTCCCACAAAGCATTTCTTGATAACAAATTTTCAAATAAATGTTGGTTTGAATATTTTTTTTTTTCATGTTCCAAGAATGAACTTGATAGAACTAGTAACTAATCCCAACATGTAAGTACTGAAAAAACTCATATGAGCAAAAAAACCCAATATGTAAGTGCATAAATATTTGGTTTGTGTTTTGTGAAAGTGAGAATTAAATAACTAGAGAGCTAATCTGGTTCTCAATTGGAGGCAAATCAGGTTTTGCTATTGAAGTTAGAAGGTGCCTGTGTGTTGGAGCATCAGCTGCTGCACTCTGTCTTTGTGCTGTATTCTGTCCTAATCTGCCACTGCAGGGGCAAAAGGTTCTGGTGTATTAAGCTGTGGAGTAGTCATTGATTGAATTGTGGCTGTGGAAATGTGGAGCAGTGGTGTTAGTCATGGTGCTAGTCTGGTAACTTCTGGTTTGCTCAGCACTGTTTGCTGTTGGTAGTCTGCTGTTAGTGGCTTAGAATTTGATCTAATCTGAGGCTGTCTTGTTGTCCTGCTAAGCTCTTCAGTGGCTGCGTTTTGTTTGTTGTTTTTGCTCATTTGTGGCTGCATCAGTTTGATCTAATCTGTTGGTTGCCTCTGTTGTTTTGAGAATAAGCTGCAACTAAACCCTTTGTATTTGCAAATTCTGCTATTGAATGAAGTATTACAAATATACAACGTGAAAGACACATATTTATGCGTCAAAGATTTGGCTTTTGGAGGAGTGGAGTAGTGTTGATTAACCTTTTCGTAAATATGAGCTTAATGTCTGTGAGTATTGGATTCTTGTTGGGTTCAAGTTGGGGTTTTGTAATTTCATAGCTATTGATCTACATTGGACTTTCCATTCACCTTGAGTTATAATTTTTTGAGTTACTTCTTGTGTTTGTTTCTTGATTGACCAATGTGACACTTTTCTAACTGACTGTTGAGTAATGCTTGTTCATTACTTGTTTGTTGATGTGCTTAGTCATTTTTCTTTTGCTTTCAGAATGAAGATGGGACAAAAGTTGAATACAGGGTATGGAATCCTTTCCATTGAATACATTGTTTTTTTCTTGCCTCCAAACTGTTTGATAAAATGTCTCTTAGACTTTCCAACAAAATTCTCGCCAACTTCTGCAAGTTACAGGTACGTTTTTGGTTACATATAAATGCATTCATTATGATTTGTTTCAAGAATTGTCTGTGTGTTTAAAAATTTGTTTTCCTGAGATCTATTCTTTGAGCACAAAGTTTATTATGTGTGATCCATTAGTGGTTAATGAAGCCAGATTTGAATATGGAATTGATTTACATGATTTTTGTAAAGTTTGTGGTCCTTGGTGGCATGGTTATGTTAATAGATGAAAATTTATTCAGTATTGGGATTTATATTTTCTATATTAGTTTAATACAATGATAGCAAAAGGTGATGTAAAGAAAATAATAATAGTGTATTGCCATTTTGTAAGAATTGTGTGTGTGTTTAAAAATTTGTTTTCCTGAGATCTATTCTTTGAGCACAAAGTTTATTACGTGTGATCCATTAGTGGTTAATGAAGCCAGATTTGAATATCGAATTGATTTACATGATTTTTGTAAAGTTTGTGGTCCTTGGTGGCATGGTTATGTTAATAGATGAAAATTTATTCAGTATTGGGATTTATATTTTCTATATTAGTTTAATACAATGATAGCAAAAGGTGATGTAAAGAACATAATAATAGTGTATTGCCATTTTGTCTATCTGAGGGTGTATTAGTATGCAACAATTTATTTGACACTGGTTTTGTGAAATTATCTGAGGGTGTATTAGGTCATTCTAAACTTAGTCGAAAAAGGGTGTTTCGGGGGTGAAAATTCAAAACAGCCTCCGAACGACCGTGTGGCTCACATGGACAGTTTCCCCATGATAAATACGACTTGTGAGAACTGATGGAATGTAATTCGGATCCGTAGGTTGGGAGTTAGAGTCGAATACGCCCTAAACTTAGTCAAAAAGGGTGTTTCGGGGGCGAAAATTTAAAACAACCTCCGAACCACCGTGTGGCTCACACGGACAACTAACTGAATGTAATTCGGACCCGTAGGTCGGGAGTTAGAGCCGAATACGCCCTAAACTTAGTCGAGAAAGGGCGTTTCGGGGGCAAAATTTAAAACAGCCTCCGAACGACTATGTGGCTCACACGGATAGCTTCTCCATGAAAAATAGGACTTGTGAGAATTGACGGAACGTAATTCGGACCCGTAGGTCGGGAGTTAGAGCCGAATACGCCCTAAACTTAGTCGAAAAAGGGCATTTCTGGGGCAAAAATTCAAAGCAGCCCCCGATCTACCGTGTGACTCACACGGACAATTCCCCCATGACAAATAAGACTTGTGACAACTGGCGGAACGTAATCCGGACCGGTAGGTTGGGAGTTAGAGCCGAATACGCCCTAAACTTAGTCGAAAAAGGGCATTTTGGCGGCGAAAATTCAAAACAGCCCCCGAACGACTGTGTGGCTCACACGGACAGCTTCCCCATGACAAATAGGACTTGTGAGAACTAACGGAACGTAATTCGGACCCATAGGTTGGGAGTTAAGAGCCGAATATACCCTAAACTTAGTCGAAAAAGTGCGTTTTGGGGGCTAAAATTCAAAACAGCCACTGAACCACCATGTGGCTCACACGGACAGTTCCCCCATATCAAATAGGACTTGTGACAACTGACGGAATGTAATTCGGACCCGTAAGTTGGGAGTTAGAGCCGAATACGCTCTAAACTTAGTCAAAAAAAGGTGTTTCAGGGGCAAAAATTTAAAACAGCCCCCGAACAACCGTGTGGCTCACATGGATAGCTTCGCCATGACAAATAGGACTTGTGAAAACTGACGGAACATAATTTAGACCCATCGGTTGGGAGTTCGAGCCAAATACGCCCTAAATTTAGTCGAAAATTCAAAACAGCCCCTGAACCATCGTGTGACTCACACGGACAATTCCCCCATGAAAAATAAGACTTGTGACAACTGACGGAACGTAATCCGGACCCGTAGGTTCGGAGTTAGAGCTGAATACGCCCTAAACTTAGTCGAAAAAAGGTGTTTCGGGGGCGAAAATTCAAAATAGACCCCGAACGACTGTGTGGCTCACACGGATAGCTTCGCCATGACAAATAGGACTTGTGAGAACTGACGAAACGTAATTCGGACCCGTAGGTTGGGAGTTAGAGCCGAATACGCCCTAAACTTACTCGAAAGAGAACTTTCTGGGGGCAAAAATTCACAACAGCTCCCGAATACGCCTTACACTTTGTCGAAAAACTTGCAACACTTAGTTTAAAAAGCGAAAACTTTATGAAAATAACATCTGCATATTCTAATAATTGCCTTTATATATTAATAGGACAAAGAAATTACATACTAGATTGTTTGTGCAGTTGGTTGGAATAAATATTATATGATACATATACATATATATATACACTTTCTTCTATTTCTAAGAAGGCATTTCTCGATTGTTCTACCTTAAATGCATGTTACTACATGTTCCATATGGCTGACTGAATTGATATTTTGTAATCAATTCTAATGTTTCGTTTTTTATTTTTCTTTGTAGATGGTTTTGTTGCGTGGACTTGTGGATAATTCATATTGGTGTATGGAGAAGAATTTTCACTTTTGTGTAGAACTAATATAATACTTTTGTCGTCCTCAACTTTTGTGTAGTTCATTATTACTGATATAGAAAACTTTTGGCAATCAACGGATAGCTTCGCCATGACAAATAGGACTTGTGAGAATTAAAGAAACGTAATTCGGACCCGTAGGTTGGGAGTTAGAGCCGAATACGCCCTAAACTTACTTGAAAGAGAACTTTCTGGGGGCAAAAATTCACAACAGCTCCTGAATACTCCTTACACTTTGTCGAAAAACTTGCAACACTTAGTTTAAAAAGCGAAAACTTTATGAAAATAACATCTGCATATTCTAATAATTGCCTTTATATATTAATAGGACAAAGAAATTACATACTAGATTGTTTGTGCAGTTGGTTGGAATAAATATTATATGATACATATACATATATATATACACTTTCTTCTATTTCTAAGAAGGCATTTCTCGATTGTTCTACCTTAAATGCATGTTACTACATGTTCCATATGGCTGACTGAATTGATATTTTGTAATCAATTCTAATGTTTCGTTTTTTATTTTTCTTTGTAGATGGTTTTGTTGCGTGGACTTGTGGATAATTCATATTGGTGTATGAAGAAGAATTTTCACTTTTGTGTAGAATTAATATAATACTTTTGTCGTCCTCAGCTTTTGTGTAGTTCATTATTACTGATATAGAAAAATTTTGGCAATCAATAGATAATGACTGTCGTGGTACATAGATTACCTTCTGTCGTGGTACATATATACCATTTGTCGGCATACATATAGGATGTTTTGTCATGGTCTGTAGAAAACTTTTGTCGTGGTTCATATATCACCTTTTGTCGTGGTACAGATTACGATAGTAATATGTACCATGCCAAATGGTAATTTCGCTTGGTAGTAAATGTATTTTTTGTATACGGAGGGTTTTGATTTTTATATGATATATTTTGTATGAAATTATTATTTTAGTTTGGACAATAGTCGATTTGTATGGGCTTTGACATTTAAAGTTATTTATTTTTTTTGTCTATGGATGTAGATTGTGAAATGATTGATAGTATGTATCATTTTGTTTATATACGTATTACAGATTGCATGGAATATAGACAAGTTGTAGAGAAATTATAATTTTGCGATAAAATATAATATCATGTTTTTGGCGACTAAACAATTAGTAGCTAAAAAGAAATTGGGAAAACACATTTAGCGAATAAAAGTTTTGTAGCAAAAAAAAAAAAAAGAAAAAAAAGACATTTAACGACTAAAAGTTTAGTAGCAAAAAAAAAAAAAGAATAGACATTTGGCGACTAAAAGTTTAGTAGTCAAAAGAAAATCAAATATTTGGCGACTAAAATATTTCGTAGCTAAAAAAAAAAACTAAAGGATAAAAACACTTTTGCCGACTAAAATTTTAGTAGTAAAAAATGTAGAACTTTAGGCGATCAAATATTTAGTAGCCAAAAGAGAACTCTTTGCCAATTAAACATTTAGTATCAGCCAAAGATGTGGGACTTTCGGCGACCAAATTTTTAGTAGCCAAAAGAAGAACTCTTTGTCGATTAAAATTTTAGTAGCTAAAAATTTGAAACTTTAAGTGACTAAAAGTTTGGTCGTTGAAAATGGTCTAATTTAATTTAATGTCCAATCTTTTGGTGACTAGAATTTTAGTTAGAAATTGTATACATTTGGCGACTAAAATAATTTTAATTACCTTCACCGATAATTTTTTGGCGACTACTTTTGCGACCAAATAATTTAGTTGCTAAAACTATTCGGCGACTAAAAATTAACTTTTGGCGACTAAAAATTTAATCGTCAAAAGTGAAAATTCTTACAGTATTTCAACATGAGAAAAGCCTAACCCTAACAAAAAATGAGTATATGATATTGAATTAAGCATTTCGATGAGGTTGTCACTTAAGTCTTCTATACTTAATTCTTGACACACAGATATTCCCTAATTAAGAAGGTGAGGATAACTTTTCCTGAGTGGGATGAATATGCATGTAATTTTCAAATGCATCACAAAGAATGGCTATCTATTTATACTTATCTCACGAAACAGTATCCAAATCTAATTGTGGTTGGGGATCATTTGAAAGAACAAATCCCGAATCTAGCTAAAATCTGTCGGGGCACAAAACAAAATCAACAGAAGGTTCAAATGAAATCGAAATCTTGGAACGATTGGAACTTTTGGTGGAAAATCACGAGTGGTACTCTCGCTTGTGACTAGGTGGGGTAAATTCCCGCTTTTACTTATTTTTGTCTCGAAAAGGGGGTCATCAAGAGATTCTTAATTCTTTCTTAGTGGGAAGAGGCAAAACACTTGCTATTCTTTTTTTTTTCTTTCTTGCTAGTCCTTTCGTTGTTTTTTATTATCTTCTATCTCATCTTCCGTTTTATCAATAGTTAAAAAAATTATAAATTGTTAAATAATTTTTTTCTACTTTTTTTTGTCGTTTTTGCCTTTAGGGGGATTCGGGGGACATGTTTTCGAGCGACGTAGCATTGCTCAAGGAAAAAAAGGAAGAAGAAAGAAAGGAAGGAAGGAAAAAAAGAAACGAAGAAGATTTTTCCTAAAGTCAGAGCAGATTTGGGCTGCGAGGGGTGGGGCTGCGACGGCGGACCTGCGGAGGCGATGGCGGAGGCGAGGCTGCGACGATCTGGTAGAGGCGACGGCGGAGGCTGCGACGATCGGGCAGAGGGCTGTGACGGCTGAGACCTGCCTCCTCTTCCCCTCTCTTTTCTTTCCCCTCTCTTTCTCTCCTTTGTGATTTCGGGGGATTCGGGGGGAAAAAAATTAGGGGGACAAATCATTTTCCTTTTTCCTTCCTCTGTTTTTTTCCTTTTTTCTTCTTCTTCTTTCTAGATTGTTGAATGAGACAAAACAAAAAAAAAACAATATAGAGAGAGATATGGGAATTTTACACCAAACCCAAAACCAAAACCAAACCCACAACCACAAATCAAAATCAACATTGAAACCCAAATAAGACAAAATCAAATAAAAATTCGAACTTCCATAAAATAATTGATGCATGGACATATACATATATATATATATATATAAATGTTGAAAACAAAAGTTTATACCTTTTTGGTTGATGATGATTCTCTCTCTCTCCCTCTCTGCTGTGTTGATGATTTGTTGATTTTTGGTTGCTGATGATAATTCTGTCCCTTTGCTCCTCTCCTCTTCTCTTCTTCTTCTTCTTTGTTCTTCTTCTACAGGTTATGGAAACGAAGAAGAAAAGGGCAAAAAAAAAAAAAAAAAAAAATTCAAAATGATGTCGTTTTGAAATTTCAAACCACTCGAATCGCTAATCTTTTGAGCTACGTAGCAGGACGCAAGGGTTATTTGGACCTATTACATATAATTTTGTTAGGGGCATTGCGCACAGAATTCAAAGCCCTTGTGTAACAATATTACACAAGTTATTGTTTTTGAAAGGCCACAACTGTGTGGGCCTCCAAAATTCATATTTCAAGGGCCTATTTGGAACCTTTCAGATATTGCATCCCTTCCCAACAAAGTACAATTGCAAAATTGTGATTCCTCACTCAACTGAACTTTAATATTGTGTTTAGTTTTAAATAAATTATTTACTTTCTTTCTCTCTCTCTCTCTTTATTTTTTTTTTATTTTATAAATTCATACTTTAAATAGAACTTAAAAAAATTAATTTTAGTTCGGGGAGATGAAAATCCCCTATTCTTTAAAAAACTGTAATCGCTTTTTTTTCTTTTCTTTCTTTTATTTGGAAATTGATAAGAGTTGTAACTTCAATTACTTTAATAAATTAAATAATCTCACATATTCACTCAACCACGCATACGGATGGATAGTTTAATAGGGAGTACTTAACTCACATTCACATGGCAATTCTCGTAAATATGATGGAAGAGGCAGATGAGGATGGAAATGATCATGATTCATGACCACCCCTTTTAAAAAGAATATATTTGTATATTGGCCTTTCACCATCAATTGTTATGTCTTTCCATTTGTAATTATATGCAAAGTGGAGCTATAATAATAATAATAATAGGTATTAAAATAACATATTTTGGTCGAACCACTTGCCTTCAAATGCAAAACTACAATCCCTTGTTTTTTTAAGGTAGAAAAAGATCAAGGACTACAGTCTTTTTTATTTTCAAAAAAGTCTCATAACTCAGATTTATTAATTCAGATTTTTTTGAATTAGTATTTGTGTGGTAAAAATTAAGTTTGTATAGTATGAAGTTTACATATGGAATATATTTGGATTATAAAATAATAATTCTGTGTAATTTTTGAATAATCAAATTTAAATTCTTAATATTATCATTTTATTTTTTAATTGATGGACTTTAGAGGAGGGGGAGAGGGTGACAGTTTGTCGTGGTCCAATTAACGTCACCCGCGTGCACATTATATTAGTTTAATGCTTTCTTAGACAAAATTTGCCACCTTAGACCATCTCCAATCCTGAACCAAATATGACATCAAATTTAAAATATAGTGAAAAAAGCACTTTTTTATGCTCCAACGGTTTCATCAAATTGACATCAAATCGAGATTTCACCAAACGTTTCACCAAAATGAGGACATGCTCCGCATTTCATCAAAATACTGTGCATGACCATTGGGGGAGATCAACTGATCGACCACCAAAAGGTTCAAACAGTTCCAAAAAAAAGTTCAAACAGTTGAAAAAAAAAAAAAATTTTTTTTGCCTTACCGGTCGACCAGCCGGTCGACCACTAAAAGGTTAAAAAAAAAAAAATAAAATCAAAAAAAAAAAATTTTTTTTTTGGCTTAACCGGTCGACCAACCAGTTATCCCGGCATAGATTTGATGAAAATTTGATGAAAATCAACCGTTGGAGCACTCGGTATCAGATTGAGGAAAAAGTTATTTTTTTACTCAGATTTGATGAAAACTTTGGTTTAGGGTTGGAGATGCTCTTACAAACCTTTCCACTACCTTTTTCCTTTATTTATCCCAAATGTGTTCTTATTGAACACATGTATCTTCTCTCTCTTAAATTATAACCAACCGACATCGCAACTCAACTTACACGAATAAAGATCGGGTGTATTAGTGGTATTACGTTATGCAGTGTTATTAATTAGTAAAAATTAAAATGATATGAATATATATATTTTTAATTATTGTACGAGCACAAAATAATATTCTCGTATAATCTTATTGATCAAATTTGCACTCTTTCAAACGTTATTGCTTTACTATCTAAAAATACAAATGTGAGGTAGCCGGCGGGGGTGTGTCGGAAACCTCTCCGATGCGTAAGTCAGCAAAATAGATAATAGATATAAAAACTCTGTGTATTTGAGAGTAAGAATTGTGATACCTCTACATAAGTCCTGTCATGAGCTTTTATAGATTCCGCCTGACACGATCCTAGTAGGACCCCAACTCTCTTTAGCAGAGTCCTCCTAGGGATCACACTCCCAAGGATAATGCTAATCCTGATAACACCTTACTCACTGCCAACTAAGTGAGATGGCGGCAACTCTTACCTCGGCTAGTAGCACACTCAACTGAGTTTACACAGCTCGGTGCTGTTTTAGGTAACACTGGTAGCCCCTATTACAGGATAGTGTGCCGCCGAGCTATACTTTGCTTGGCTTGTTTCCTTACTAATACCTCGGCTTACTACCTGTCCTAGCTTTTAGATAGCCAGGTCAGACCCTTGACGTCGTCTTTATCCAACTTGGTATCCAAATGACCCAGGATCGAGCTATCTAAAGCTTTCACCCTGACCCATAGCTTGGTCCATCATTTCAAGATAAATGGATCTAGCTCGGCCCAATTTATTCATATAAATTACCCTCTCAATTGCCTCTTAATTCTATCTGCGTAGCATGATTGAGATTACTGTTTCAAAGCTGAGCTAAATGCACAAAATTCAACCGAACCAAAATAATCAATTCAACCGA